TAATCATAGTATTAATAAAGTATAAAATTGTTTTATAGTATATACAATATTCAATGAATATTCAATGAATATTCGAAAAATTTTTCAATGAATATTTGAATATTAAAAGTATTGAACAAATAAATATTCGAATACAAAATTTTTAACCGGATAAGACCTCTAGATATGGACTAGTTCATGTTTATATTTGTCCAAGTCTAAATAAAATTTTTATTGGACATAGTCCAAGTGCCAACACTGATTGAGACCCATTGACAAATTTATTTTTAATAGGCATAGTCTATTGCCAACCCTGGATAAGACTTATCAGTATCTCTCTTTGCAAGGAAAGTTCTATCATTAGTAATCCTATTTATATTAATATTATTAGTTCCATTGCTTGTGAATATCAGCTGACGAAAATGGATCTGCTTGTTTGCACGTTTATTCTACTTTCTTGCAAGTTTATAATCGGATTGGGTACTCTGGCAATAGAAGACTCAAGGAATTAGCAATATTCTCGACTAATAAATATATTCTATTCAATCTCATCTAAACAATCAACCAAGCTTGTAGGTTGCCTGTGTTGATGAGTTAACGCTGGCTCAGCTTGTAGACTTGAAACATCAGGCAAGCTAATTGGTCACCTGTGTCCCAACACTGGTTGTGGCTTGGCTAATTGGCTTGAATATTATGAATAGAGGTTGGACCTGTTGAGAAAATCTCTACCCGGGTATTATTAAATTACCCAGGTTATCCGGGTAAATTATTATATATCATATAGCACAATTTCTACCCAAGTCCAACCCCTAGTTATAGAAGCTAGTTGATTCCATGCCATGCCACTTTTTTATATCTATACTTTCAACAAAAAATATGTTTACTTACGTTTTTATATTTATCAAGAAACTGTGCTTTTTCTTTCCTTTTTCCTTCCTCACAGATAATAATATTTTCAAGACTTCTTAGGTATAAATCTACTTTTAGTCTGAATAGTTCTTCGTTACATTGGTTAGAAAGCTTATTATATTCCATTCAGTATATGCTCGATTAAAATATTCGTGTTTAGTTATTACTGTATATTCCAAG